GATTTGAAGCCAATAATTGACTTCCTACAAGTAAGTGTTTTGTGCTATGCTTGGGAGAAGGTGTCTAGCTTAAGCTCTGTGACAAAGAACTATTGGGCACAATGGGACCAGTTGAAGCTTGAAGATGATATTCTTGTCTGGAGATGGGAAACTGCAGATTGGAAAGTGACGACCTGGCCAACAGTTATACCGAGAAAGTTACGAGAAATTGTGCTGTGTCAATCCCACGATAATTTAACAGCAGGACATCTTGGAGTTAAGAAGACATTGAGTCATCTATAGCAGAGATTTTACTGTATAGGTATGAGGCAAGATGTGGAAGAATGGTGTAGGACCTGCAATACATGTTGTGCTAAAAGGGGACCCAAGCATTAGGGACATGCTCTAATAAAGTTATATCAAGTTGGTGCACCAATAGAAAGAGTACCCATTTACATTGCTGGTCATTTGCCCCAAACTTGTGCTGGAAACAGATACATTTGTGTGGTGATGGATTATTTCACCAAATGGCCCTAGGCATATGCAATAGCAAATCAGGAAGCTACAATTGTAGCTTTGGCTATTAGCAATTTCTTTTTCATGTTTGGTATGCCATACAAACTGCATCCAGATCAAGGCCATAACTTTGAATCAGCTGTGAATGCTGCAAGTTGTTTGGCATACGAAAGACCAGGACAATGCCACTTCACCCATAGTCTGATGGGATGGTAGGAAAGTACAATTGGACACTGGAACAGGAATTGGCAAAGTTTTGTAATAGCCACCAAAATGACTCGGATGTCTTACTCCCTCCACTGTTGATGGTCTATAGAACAGCAGAGCATAAAGCCACTGGATACACTAAAGCAAAAATGATGTTTAGTCGGGAATTTCGGTTGCCAGTGGACCAGATAACAGGACGCCAATCTTCTGAAAAGTTGCCTGATAATGTGTCAGAATTCGTGAAAGTGTTATCTGTAAAGATGGATGATATTCATCATCAAGTGCATTCAAATTGAAAACGTCTGCTGATTCGATGAAGTTATCTTATGATAAGAGGTCTACTGAAGTCAGCTTTGTACCAGAAGACATGGTGTGGTTGTATAATCCCAGGAAGACCAAAGGGAAGTATCCTAAGTTGTCTTCTCAATGGCAACGCCCATATGACATAGTGGATCATCTCTCAGACGTGACTTTCTGAATAAAATGTGTTTGGCGAGGTAAGCTGAAGGTGGTGCATGCCAACAGGCTTTGGCATTATCACGATCCAGGACATTTTATTTGGAACGAAATTAACAACAGAACAAATGATGCTGCTGAAGACGTGTCACCTGAAAAAGACACTGTTGAAGAAGAAACACTACCTAGTTTTGAGAAGTGAAACAGTGAAGCCGTTAAAGAAGTTACTACCACTGATGTGTCTGCTACCAATAATGGGACACGTAAAGCAGAAGCCAATGAAATGGAAACCAGTACGAAATAAGAAATGTCCTGTAAAATTAAGAGACTTTGTTGTATTTTAATTGTGCGTTTGTAAATTTTGTACATTTGATTAAGTTATTGTTAATTATCTATTGGTTTAATATAACTGGCTATTGTTCGGGATGAACAATACTAAGAAAGAGGCAGTGTTACGACAGCGGAAGTCGCGTGACGCTGGGAGCATGCGCACTGGATTTTTTCGAATGATCATGAATTTTCCTGGCAGTTTGAGTGTGATCTAAATGCCCCCTTTTTTAGTATATAAGCCTGGCGAGAAAAACCAGCGTGATTGAAGAGATAGATAATTGGGTCAACCGAACAGTTGTGAGGGTGAGCCGTAAATTGTGTGTTTTGCAGTAGCATAGAGTGAAGTCATCGAGCTTGTGAATCACTGTGATTTATAGCGTATGTTATAAAGGTTGTTAAGTTTAAAGTGACTGTGGAAATTCTGTGTATTACTAAAAGTTGTATCAAGAAAGAATAAACTGGTTTAATCAAGAAAGGACTTGTATGGCTGAAGTTCCTCGGAAATAATTTAAATAGTTTCCTTTAAGTGAGAATTTTAAAATGAAAAACTATACTTTAATGAATTATTACAGTGTTTTATTCAAGAGTTCCACACTTTTTCTTACCTTCGTAGATGTGAATGATGTGTGGATGTTGAATGGACGACATAACTTGGATTTCTCGACGAATCCTTATCAAGTCTTGTTCATTATCGATTTTTGACTTTTTGATAGTTTTAATGGCAACCTAGAATGAAGTGAAGAAAAACACAATACATGTAAAACATAGATGAACTATTTAATGGAATAAATCATCAAGCTTATAGTTAAAACTGTTCAGCTTCGCTCACAACATATTGAAAAGGAAAACTTGACAAGGTTGCCTACATTAGATTTTACACTATGCAGACAGTTGACAAGATGTGTTTCATCTTTGTTTAAAATAATATTGTACTTTGATCAACCAGAATGTAAAAATACCTCACTACCAACAAAATGTATTCCTACGGACCTAGTTTTTTTTTTCTTACTGATTTTTAGGAATTTTATAAGCAAGTGTTCTCGAAGTACCTGAGTTGTATCAAGCAACAGAAAACTGCCAGTGATAAAGGTAAAAAAAAGAGAGTTTCCGTCCAAAGAACAAATACCTTTTAATTTGCCTTAAATGTTAGCATGATAATGAACCCTAACGCTATTGGTGCGATTATTTTAGAAGCTTTGCAACAGCTAGGAACATGGTATATTATCATCCTTCATGATATGGTCAACAACGAGCACTCCGTCCTTAGAACATCTGGAGTTGTGGTAATTAAAAAAATTGTGGTAATTAGTCAAAACCTGTTCCTGGGTTTAAATGATAAAACAAAATTAAAAATACATCCTAAAATATATTTCTGTATTTTTATATTTAAACTATACATTCTTAATGATACCCTACTGTGCTGATATCTTGAGATTTACCTCTAAATATTTACAAGTGAACTGTGTCCTTTTACGTATAGTCACCTGTGTTCATATGTGCCGAACGTTACTCGCTGGTTCAGATCCCACTATTTGGTCTGATAAGAGTAGCCCAAGGCAAATATTGCAGATAGCCCTCGTTTAGTTTTGGGCGAAATTCAATAAATTTTACTTACATGTAGACATGTTTTGAAACTGACTTTTAATGTTTACCGGTGAATTTTAATGTTTACCAGTAAATTACGTGTTTATGCTCTCCCTGTGTCCGTATATAGACTTCACCTGCAGTCATCTAGAATAGATTGAATAACATTTACTCCAAACACGCAAATAACTTGAAAAATCAAAAATTCGAATTCAAGTAGAAATATAGATGAAACATTTTTGTAAAGTTTCATCGAAACCAGATAGTCCGCTGAAGGTTTTTTGACCAAATAATTCATCATATTTGTCCACACTTTTGTACGCTAAACTTTGATCAAACTGTACCCGTATTTGTGTCCTTTAAAGAAACTACCGAGAAATATTATTTACCCAACAAAGCTTTATGAGTATACCGTTTAGGAAAGGCTTGTACTACTTATTTTACTAGCAGAGGGAGGATTTCCCTTCTAGATTGTACAAAATTACCTAGAGAATGACAACACAAATCCATAATGAGAGTATAATACGAGATTTGTTTGAGTGTCTAGTTTATAATACGGCCACTTTCATCAATGTTTATAGAGAAGCTTAGCATTATTAAGAATACAAAACCATTAAAAATAAGTTTTGTTTCTTTTTTTTCTTCCAACAGTGTTAAGTCTCATAATAATTTTTTTGCAATACATAGCTCAATTATCCACTTCTATAAACATTTTTGAAAATTATCGGTAGTTTCAAACTTTACTAAGACAGATTCTATGAACATCATTGCAACTACCTAAAACTACGGTTACTAACTTGTGAGACAGATTCTATGAACATCATTGCAACTACCTAAAACTACGGTTACTAACTTTACTCAGACAGATTCTATGAACATCATTGCAACTACCTAAAACTACGGTTACTAACTTGTGAGACAGATTCTATGAACATCATTGCAACTACCTAAAACTACGGTTACTAACTTGTGAGACAGATTCTATGAACATCATTGCAACTACCTAAAACTACGGTTACTAACTTGTGAGACAGATTCTATGAACATCATTGCAACTACCTAAAACTACGGTTACTAACTTGTGAGACAGATTCTATGAACATCATTACAACTACCTAAAACTACGGTTACTAACTTGTGAGACAAAACCAGCTTTGTAGTATTTCAAGGCTGATGTGAAACAAAAGTAAAGACCGGTTATTTAAATAAATTATAGCCTACGCATAAAACCAGGCTACTATTTTGAAAATGTTAACACAGGGAAGTACGGAAATTAGAAATGATCGAAACTACTTCAGTTTGACCACACAAAGTCTTACCATACAGAAAGTTCAAATGTTCTTTATAGTTTAGAAATGTTCGAAACTACTACAGTTTGACCACACAAAGTCTTACCAGACAGAAAGTTCAAATATTTTCTATAGTTTAGAAATGTTCGAAACTACTTCAGTTTGACCACACAAAGTCTTACCATACAGAAAGTTCAAATGTTCTTTATAGTTTAGAAATGTTCGAAACTACTACAGTTTGACCACACAACGTCTTACCAGACAGAAAGTTCAAATATTCTTTATAGTTTAGAAATGTTCGAAACTACTACAGTTTGACCACACAAAGTCTTACCAGACAGAAAGTTCAGATATTCTTTATGGTCGATTGATAGACGAATACTATCACAATAAGGCTGTACCTTGATCGATACGTTAGTGATGCTCTCCAGCAGCTCAGCGGTAAGCTTAAGGAGATTCAACGTTCAAAACAGAGTTTGTGTATCCAGTGAGCACAGTGAAGAAATCCACTAAATAACAAAAGTCATTGATTCAGTATATATCATGTGTGATTTTATATTTATGATATCCCCAAAATATCCTTAAGAAACAAAAACTTTTACCTACCTATTTGTAGACGATGCTCATCAGTGTTTCTGCTCTTTTGTAAAGGAAAATATCTACTAAACTATGTGTTTTTGATCCGGTTGTTCTTATTCATATATTTATAATACTTGTCAAAGTAATCTGTTTATGTTTTATATCGAAGTATTTTGAACAGTATTTTTGGCTGACATAGAAATGAATAAATTTTACATTAACCAAGAATAATAACAATATTCAATATGTATACTTCAATTACTTACAGTATTATATAAGGCACAATAAATCCATAAAGCTAGTAGAAAAAACAATAATAATAGATCGAAAAACGAACATGTTACATTAAACAACCAATTTTAGAACGTAACGTAATATCACGAAAGAAGAGAGAAATTTTTCCATTTTCACAGTACTTAATATTAATTGGAAAAATAAATGTAAAAAGCCATGAGTTAATGTTAAAATAAACATTTAAGTGAAAGAACAGATGCAATTAAAAATTTGGTGAGGAGTGAGAAAGCGAATATGAATATTATGTAAAATATGATTTGGTTTACAAAGTGACTAGTGTTACAAAAATAATGGTATATTTCATTAAGTATTTATTTATATTTACTCTTTCAAATGTTTAGAAAGGCAAAGTTCAGTTTCTTTGATGAAGGTTAGCAGATATAGCTAATAATTTAAAGTAACCAGAGCTTTAGCTTTTCTTTTAAAATGTACAGATCAAAGTTTAAAAAAATAACTGAACCTGCGTGGTATTATAGTTTGACATCAAGTTAGAGGCATTACTTTACATTAACAATGTTCATCAATGTTGCATTATTAGATAGCATAAATAATAAATATCATTACATGTAATTACTTTCAGCCGCTATAAATACACTTAATCACTCTACCAAATAAATAAAAAAAGAGTTAAACATAAATAAATTAGGATATCCTTGAATGTTACTATTCATAATGATAAATTATAAAAAGTGTTGTAATCTATAAGAGAATAATCGTGGTGACTGAAAATCGAAAAAACACTTTTTTGAAATTCCTGACACCTTATGCGATCAAACTATTCTCTGAAATGCCTACAAAGTTATTTCAGTATTGTATCAAGCATTCGCGTTGCTTTGGTGGCCGATTATGACGTTGACTATCGTCAATAGCCGAACAATGTTGTCAGCGAACAAAGGTCAGGAGGTTATGCCACCCACTGAACAAAATAAGCGAGTTTACACGCTCAATTCGAGCGCGCTTTCTTAGCTCCGTTTTCTGTTAGACGATCTACGAGGTCGACCTGCTATTTGTAAATCAGTATGTTTAGTTAAATAGCAATCAATCTCAAGAGAAAGAAGGCTGCAACATTAGACACAATCCACTATATGGGGTATTGTCAGGCATCCGCGTAGGTACATGTACTGCATTTGTTTTATTTGTGAAACAAATATTTTATAATGTCGTTTAAAGTTGTTCAGACTTTCTTTTTATTCCACATTTAAAAGGACCACACCATTCACAGCTGTTGTGGTTCACATATTGTATCATGCTGAGTATGTCAAAACACTCAGTGTAAAGAACTGACCAAAACGATTAGGTGAAATCAATTTTCTGTGTAAAATACGGAGGAAATCCCGAGTAGTAATAAGTGGGATTAATTGCAGTATTAATTTATTTTTTTATTTCAATATTTCTGTGTAATTCGTATAAGATTGGGGACCATCACCATGAAACTTACGAGCCAACAAGCCTAGAAAAATGTATTTCAAAAGTGGCTGTGACCTAATCGGTCGTTCTATGGTTACGCTTTTACTTTTCATTAATAGCTTTTATAGATGGAGAAATACTATCGTCAGTTCACATATAAGTTGAATGTCACATCAGGAGCGTTATATCCTACTTTAGTAAACATAATGAAACAAACTATTTAAACATAATTGTAGTGAAACGTTTCGGTGAGGTTGTCGTAGCAAGGATAGATAGTTTTGATGTTTCAGAATGCATTATGTTTCAGTTGTTTTCTTTTGAAAATAAACAAAAAGAAAGACGCATCTAGCATTTCATCCACTTTTATCGAAACAAAAATGTGTTTGAAAAGAGAAATCAAACAGCGATAATCTGAAATTCACAAAGAAATAATACGTTTTCGAAATTGATGTTAAATTCCTTCATGTAGAGTTCATATTTAGAGTAAGCTGAGTACTAAGTACTGTTTAAATATCATCGAGTTAAAGTACTGTGTAACCACTAAACATAGCCGAACTAAGGTATTGTGTGTAA